TTGTACCCAGCACAGAGTGGGTGCTAATGTTAAAACAAAACAACAAAAACCCTCCTGCTGATTTTTCCAATAAACATTTTTTAGCACCAATGATATGAATCTGTGTATCTGGAAACTCACTGCATCCTGTGTCCATCAGTGTCATGGAGTATTAAAACCAAAATTTTTTTCCCTTGTAAACTTAGAAGACAAATGATGAAATATCCTGGCCTGACACATCCCACAATGTGCTTGTTGTCAACCTTTTCCACTCTTGCCAAGACCCAGCCAAGGTGAGTCATGATAGAGGTCACCAAATGGTCAGGAGTCACTTGCAGGGACCCTTGGATCTCTCTTGGGTCTCTATCCCAACTTCACTCTAGATTTCATGTTATTTACTTTTGCCTTTGAACAGAAGTTTGCCACCATCCTTTGGCCTCATTCTTGGGTCTTGAATATCCTGTTTTCTAGCCTCTGTAGGACTTTGGCTTGGTTTTGTCTTGCTCCTTCCCTGCTCCTGACTTCCTCTAACCTTGTTCAGGCCTCTAAAGCAGAACCCTGGCACTAGCTTAAGTGAATGACCTTCAGCCAAACTCTAGCTCCAGCAATGGCCTGGCTTGGATGTTACATTATTGCAAAGCACTGAATTCCAGATTTTCCTATTCAAATGGGAATTTTAGTGATACAAGGTTTCTGTCTTCTGTCTCTGGCACTTTCATCAGACAATAATAAAGATTTAGAAGTACTGTCAGTATATGTGAGCTAAAGTGATTCCTTCCACTCAGGCATGTTTGAAAACAATTTCCTGAGTGTTCATCTTTAATATCATATATGCAGTATTACTTTAAAGAAGAGGGAGAAGAGGACATTAGGACACTTGCTGAATTTATCCCAAGGTTGAATCAAGTAAAGAAGAATCAGTTTGGCTGGGTAGAGAGGCTGGGGTGAGGTTCATAACATATGATTGGGGAGCTTGGCTTTAAACTAAGGAGAAAATGTACAAATTCATGTTTCAGTCATAACAAACCATCCATTCACTGGCTGCCTTCCTTCCCAGAAGTTTCAGACATGGAAGGATTCTAAAATGAATACAGAATCTGCTTGAGTTGCATAGATCTAATGTTAGAAAAGATTCACACTTTTAAGTGACTAATTATATAGCTGTGGAAAATATCACTTTTTTGTCAAGAGGTAAGGACTTGAATTGAACCCTCATGAGCCCTGATCAACCAACAACTCTCACACTTCATCAAGTGTTCAGTGACATGAAGAAAATCAGCAATGCATATATTATATCACTGTGTTGTCCTTTCTCATGACCCTCAAATTGGGAAGAGAAGAAAACTATAACCAGGAGGTATCTCTATTGGCTAAGCCTCAAAATATCAGCAAGACAAGAGTCCACTGAAAATGTTTTGTAAAACGCCAATGCCATGTGTTCTCCCAGTAAAGCCATGGAGCAGTAAGGTTACATCCAACAATTTGATTATGGTGCACTCACACCTCAGGCATTGTTCATATCAAGGAGACAAAGGTGGGTACACAGGTAAGGAAGATGGGTCTGGGAACTCCCCCAAATGCTCTCAGCCTGTGCCTGGATCTGCCTGAGTTTAGAGTTCTAAAAGAAAGACCCCCTTTGTGGCATCTACTGAGTCAACTGCAAGCAATTGATCAACAAATTCAACCTAACATTTGGTAGCAGAGAATCAAGATTTCTACCATTTCCAAGACTACAGGGCTCTAGTTAGCAAATCCCACAGTAAATATTCCCATGTTTGATGAAAAATGAGTATGACAAGCAGAAAAAAAATCACTTGACTAGTATTTTCATGTAAGATGCTTTGGTTGACAAATGTAATAGTTATCTAATTCCCAATCCTTTCTTCCCATGACTTTGGTCATGAGTCACAGAGATTTAGCCATTCTGGCGAAAGAATACACGTCCTTATTGTTTAGTATAGATGACAATGTTAAAACTATTCTAAGTTAAGAACAGTTGGCAATATGCTGGATGAGACAATAAGAATCAGAAAAACCTTAGAAATATGTACACAAAAATTGCTTCTCAAAACTATCATCTTGAGAAACAATTCATTTATTTTCTTTATTGCCTTCAGACAAAGTTCACACACCACCCTTGAAACACAGCCTTGAGGTATCATAGTTATTCCTTGGTTTTGACCCAAAGCAACATTACCCAGTTTTGACTGTTTTCAAAAATCACTCTGATGGGATGAATATTATTGTGTTGGCAATAATCTATCAAATGTGCTGCAGTCCTCTAGATCCCTAGAGAAAATTCTGTAGCTATACTAAACAACAGCACCATTAATAGCATGTGCACAGCCCTCAGCTGGACGCCTTCAAAAGCTCTGGTCTATTTTCTTAAAACTCAGATGCAGGACTACCTCTGGGTCACACACAGAATCACTGGGCTGGAAGGGAAAATGTGGTTCTACACAGCTGGAATAAAACATTAAATGCGTAGCTAGTGCCTGCTTATATAGAAGAGGCCTTTAGCTTGAAATACTACTGTTTCTACCAATTTCTAAGGGCCTTCCTGAAGAGAAGAAAAATTTCTTGGTATAATGTGCACTGGAAAAGGTGAAACGTGATTTTGGGCCCTGGAAGATGTTTACAGATTTGGTCCTCATCACTCACTGCTGTGCTTGTGTCTAGGAAGCCTGAATGTAGACTAAGAGGTCAGAAGTATGTGTGCAGTTGCTGATATCAACACTATGCTCCAAAACAGGACAAAGGATATTGGAGGTAGCAAGGAGGCTCCCAAAAAATATCTGATGGGACACGAATGATGTGTATTTCCTGTTCTAAATTGTGAATTTTGGTTAGTTCCATAATATTTATCCTCAGGAAAGTCCACGATCACACAAATTTTTATGAATTTCCTTCTTTAACCTCTTTGAAGTTTAAAGACATAAGGTTTTTTTCATCCCCCAAAGTCTTAATCTTCTATGGAGATTATATTAATAGGGCTCAATATAAGAAGAAACCCTTTTTGTTTTTGAGAATCCTCACAGTGGTCTACAGAGTTCATTCATTTCTCAACAAATCCTACCTCTGAGTGTTATACCCTAGTGGCTGAAAGTGTAGGCTTTAAAGTAGACCATCAGGATCCTGGCTCTGCTATTTAATTTCTGTGTAACCTTGGGAAAATTACTGAAGCTCTCTGCACCTCAAGTCTCCTATCAATAAGGTAGAGATAATGGTACTTTCCTCATATGGGTGAGATAAAATACTGCCAGTAAGAGCAACAAAAGTCAACCCAGATATTGAGTAGGTACTCAATAAATGCTAACTCATTACTATCTTATTTATAATTTCCATTTGTATGGTCAGAAGTCTGGATCAAGGAGTGCAAATTGCTACATACTTACACTGCTGCACAGGGAAAGAATTACAGATAGTAATATACTGTAATATATATTACTGTGTATATAGAATTTCTTCTCCCATTACTTTAATCTAGTGTCTTTCCTATGTAAAAATAGTCCTTGTTTAAAAACAATATTTTGATATTTATGGATCTCTACGTGATAATCACAGTAATAATCAGTTTATTACAGACTCTGGGCTAAGAATTATGTCATTTCATTCTCAACAGAACCCCAGCAGATACCATTACCACTCTTATTTACAGGTGAGGAAGCAGTCCAAACAGGTTCTGAGAGGCTTGAAGTTGCATACAGCTAGGCAGGTCAGAGTAAGATCTGACCCTGTGTTCATCCAAATCAACTACCTTCTTACAGCACTAAAAAGCAGTTTCACAGTTTGTTTTTAAATAATTCTAAAATTTCTTTCGTTTGTTTGTTTGTTTGTTTAGGTTTCTTAACTCTCTAAGAGCTGAAAGTCTTACTTGGCACATGGCTTTTGAATCCTCCTTGAATCTAGTTTTCTCTTGGCCCATATGTAGGGCAAAGATCAGCTTGGACACAGCCTGTGGAGTTCATGGTATTCTTTTCTGGGCAGCTGCCATGAAACTATTCTCAGAATGCTATTGGCCTTAGGCTCAGCTCCATCGTACCACCCCAACATATTGCTTTGTAATGTGCTATGTTGGAGCATGGAAAGATAATGTAGACTTGTCAAATAATATGTCAAAGCAATGTTCAAACTTTCTTCCTTCCAGGAAGAGTTTCTTCCTTGGGGATCAGGGCTTACTTGCCTGTATGTGCTCTGAAGGCACAGGGCTCTCTCTTTATGCTGTTCCTATCAGGACAGAGTAAATCTCTATTTTATGTAAATCAAAGGACATGAGGCAATCACAGTTAATACTTAACTCAGGCACTACTTTCTCTGGAAGTCTCCCTTGATTTCCTCTTGCTAGGGAAGATACCCAACTTCTGTTCTCTTATCATTACTCTTACCCATCTAGTATTAAAATGATAGTTTTAAAGCTTGTCACTCTCTTCTGACTGTGTTTGTAGACAGGGATCATGTCTCATTTGGTGCTGGTAATCAGCACATATGCACCAAATGCACTCATGGCAGGATCTATTATGAAGGTTGGGCATTAAGATATTACAGTCAGTTGGTGGAGGTATAGTCCAGTCATTGAATACTCATAATATCACTTCTGGCATTGTTCTAATACTCAGCATGAATCACAACATCTTACACATGTAGGCACTTGGGAAGTGGACATTGACTCAATGACTGATTAACTGGTTGGATGAATGAGCATCAAGCATATCAGAATCTGACTGGCAACTGGATATGTCATGAAAGGCATGAGATTTATAGCAACACTTTTTGTTTTATTTAATAATGAACAATTCCTAATAATCAAGAACCTTTGATCATTATACATCCCAATAACAATGTTCCACAAGGAAATATTAGCCCTTGCCCTTAGACACCCTATGAGAAATAGGCTCATGAAGTCTTCATGTGAACCCATCAAAACCACCACTGCTTTTGGTCTTGATAATGCCCCAACATAAGCATATTGACCAAGCTAAATGGTCTCTGGAACTCTATGTTTGGAGTGGTAGAGCCCTTACCTGTCTGTGTTGTTGGGAGACTTGATAGCCCAGTCCTGTGATGGACTGATTCTGAATTTTCTGAAGCAGGATCTTTTGCTGAAGTGGTAAGGGTGACCTCATCAAAGGCTGGCTTGATAAGGGTTGGGTGGGCTGTGATGGTGGCTGCTGCTGCTGCTGCTGCTGCTGTTGCTGCTGTTGCTGCTGCTGCTGCTGTTGCTGCTGCTGCTGCTGTTGCTGCTGTTGCTGCTGAGCTGAAATAGAGCTCTGCTGCTGCTGCTGCTGTTGCTGCTGCTGTTGCTGCTGCTGCTGCTGCTGAGCTGTCATTGAGCTCTGCTGCTGTTGCTGCTGCTGCTGCTGCTGCTGCTGCTGCTGGGTATAGTGTAGGAGAGAAGGCTTGTTCTGAGAAGGCAAAACAGAAGGCATCTGCTGGTTTGCTTGATCTGAATTAAAATGGAACAGAGGCTTGGTGTTGCCATGACGGGGCTCCAGGGCTGGGTGGGGGTTGTTAATAAAACTTCGGCTGAGCACATCCAGATGCCCACCCTGGGTTGAGGGGCTGGCCTTGTAAATGTAGTTAGCCATTACTTTTGACTGGTTGCTACTGCCAGCTACCCCGGACATAGGGGAGCCCTGTGGGCTGAATGGCTGCTGACCAAAAGAAGGGCTGGGAATTTTCTCTTGCCCAAATGGACCTGGGGATGGTCCAGCAGAAGAGGGCAAGGCTGACCAGTTGGTAGGCTGGTGCTGCTGCTGCTGCTGCTGCTGCTGCTGTTGCTGCTGTTGCTGCTGCTGCTGCTGCTGTTGCTGCTGCATCCGGGCATGCTGTTGACGATTGGCCGCAATTTGTTTGAGTTGCTGAGCATGGGATACTTCCTGCCAGCTTGGCAGGGCCCGATTTGCTCCTGACACTGTCTGAGGCTGAGCCTGGCTCTGAGGGACTGTAGGAATTGGGGATGAAGTGGAGAGGGCAGAATTGGCCATTGAGAATGCAGGGCCAGCTGATGGGGGCCTTAACTGAGGAGAGCTGGAGGGGCCTTGAGTCAGGCCAGGTGAGTATTCACTTTTGATCACCATCTTCTCCATGGGCAAGGAGGGTCGGGGCGTGCTCCTCTGGCTCTGCTGACCCAAGTCAATGTTAAATGGGTCGTCCTGCTTTATGGTGGCATTGATCATGTTCTCCAATTCAAGGTCACTCATGGGAGGCACAGATATGTTGGTCAGTTCATTGAAAAGTTCCTGCAGCTCAGGATCCATCAGTTGCTCTCCAGGGTCATCTCCATACCTATTACTAAAAAGATTCTCCTGTGGCATTTGACCATCCATGTGCTTACTGCAAGACAGAGTCTCTCCTGGCTCTTTCTTCACTTCTTTTAAGCCCATGTTAAACAAAGCATTGCCAGGAGAATGTATGTGGGATGGCAGTGTGCTAATCTTTCTCGGGGGTGCCTGACTCATAGGCAAGGCCCCTGGCATAATTTGATTTTGTCCATTATTTACTTGGAGGCCACCTTGTCCAGTAGAGAGATTCTCCCCAACACGGATTCTTTTGATATCAAGGAAAGAGTTGTCAACAAAGCCATTGGGCCTCTTGCTGTTGGCAGGAGACAGGTTAACTACCTGTTTTCTTTTCAAGGAACCCTGAAGCTGAAAAATAGAAGGGGAATGAAAAAGAAAAAAATTGAGATATTAATTCAGTTATACTTTAAATCAAGATCAACTAATATTTAAACTTTATTTTTTCATTTACACACAGAATGCGATTTTTTAACAAAAGCACAATTGAAGCACAGTCTGGAATATAATAAAATTCACAGTAGCACAAAGAGAACAAAATAAATGTTTCTGAAGGAGCATGTCAGTTAGGCCAGAGATCACAGTGGCCCCCATGATTGGTTGGTACACAGGCCAAGGGATGAAGAATCCTTCAAATACAGAAGGAGTTACTCACAGTATCTAAGGTTAGTCACTAAAGCCAGTTGTTTTCTGGAACAGGCCAAAATAGTCCTCCTGCATGCATACACAAGCTACAGGTGATCAGCATGCACACATTTTTGCCCAAGTTGGGAAAACACAAACAGGTCTAAAGCTGACAAAATTTCTAGTTCCACGCCCCCACCACAGTTTCAATCCTGCCATCACTAGTATCCTCTAAGTAGGTAATTAGAATAGTTCTCAGGTCCAAGTAGATATTCTATCTGTTGTGCAACTAATTTTCTTCCTATAATCCCACCACTTTGCATTCAGGCATATGACAAAACATATTGTTCACAGTTGTCCCTCTGCTCCATGCTGGCCATTCCCAGATTGTAATCATTTTACCTGAGATTGAGAATGTCTCCATGCTTGCTGCCCCTGGCCCCTTCATGCTAGAAGGGGCAACATTGTGTGGATACACAGAGCTATGAGATTACCATTTATTCAGTGAGACATCTCTAGGTATACATTTTTTCAGGAACTCCTTTCTTCTGTTGATTGTCTCTAAATCTTGTAACTAAAACCAAGGTGTTGAGAAGAAGTGCCACACAGTTGTCAGGAGTTCAGATTCTGGGATCAGACTAATCCAAACTCACACTCCAATTCTTTCTCTGAACGTCATGTAACCTTGGCAACTTATTTACCTGAGCCTCAATTTCCTCATCTGGAAAAGGGGGCAAGCACTTAAGTTATAATGAGGTAATGCATATAAAATTTAACACAGTGCTTGCTGTAGTAACGAATCAATAAACAGTAGTTTATAGAAAAAGCATGGCTTGTTATATTCTGAAAGGGAGCATGTCTCCAAAATGGCAACATGTTTAAGTAGTTCATGAATTCAGTGATTAGATTTTCTTTATGAAACTTGAAAGTTATTGAGAAAGATTTAAGGACCATACACTTACACTGATAAATTTCTTAGATGGATAAAACATTCATCACTGGGTCGCTGGTCCTTGTTGATTTGTCTCTAAAATAAGAATCTATCATTCAATGTGTGGCTTTCTCAGTGCTGCTGACCCACTTTAATTATTTCATGTTTGCTCAGGATAACCATAAAATACCTGAGGTATAATGCTTCCCAGATGGAAAATTCTACCACATCTTTCCTTCTCACTTATAGCCACTCCCTCACCCTCCTGAAAATTTGTAGGTAGCCTAATCAAGAAGGAAAAATTAACTGAGAATACATTCTATGCCAAGTATTTTAAATATGATTATTTTATTTTCCTTAATCTGTACAACTATCCCATTATATAGGTAATATAATCCTTGTTTTATAGATAAGGAAACCAAGGCTTAGAGAGTAACTTGTCCAGGGTCACATAGCCAATTCAATGTCTGTGTAGTTCTAAAGCCTGGGTCATACCCACTCTAATATGGTGGAATTAGCTTGTATAGGCCCACAGTGTCTACCTAGCATGAAGGGACCAGGGGCAGTGAGTATAGCCACATCTTAGACCACAGGTAAAATGATGAGAAATCTGGAAAAGGTCAGGATGCAGCCCAGAGCCTAATATGAAGGATATGTCTCTGTGATCTAGTTAAGCAACACCAGTTCTAGTTATTCCTTACCCCATGCCTGAACTGTCTGCTCACAGGAGGTGTGTAGTTACGGTGTGTGTGCAATTATAATGTGTGTGCAATGCTGGTATGACAGGTTTTGACTTGTACAATTGTTGATTAGTAACCACAGAGAGAACTCTGACCCTGCTGGCCCAGTAAATCCTTCCCATGAGAATTCTAGATTTGGAGAAAGTGAGACCAGGTTCTCCCTGGATGGATGTGTACTGATATACAAAACTTCTGAGCTATTATGATGTCAACCAAAGCCATAGAGGAAGTAAGTCTGTAGAAAGAAGAATGAAGAAGAAAGGAAAGACACACGGAGGGCCTGATTCCAATCCCAGGTTAGATCTGCAATGAATTTCCCTGTTTGTTTGAGCTAACTTTAGCTTGAGCTGACTTTAGCTTCTGTTACTTTCAACCAAGAGCTCTAACCAAATTCCCTGAGACTTCATGTTCAGTGATGAACAAATTTGCAGCAAGGAACAAAGACACACACACCATGGTGAAAAGCTTCCTGCCATTCCCCATCTCTGCTGTCTCTCTGATTTGCTGACTCCTAATTTTGTCTACTTACTGGTGTAGACAACATCATCCTAGAACTATGTCAGCCATCACCACATTCAGCAGAAACTCAAGTTGCCACAGTCTGTCTTCCCCAGATCAGGAAGAGCACAAATCAGAGAGATTCAGTCAAGTTTGATTTACTTCAGCATTAGCTGTATTTGAAGGTTCTTTTGCAACTAGTAAAGAACAAACAAAAGAGTACATTCTTTTTCCAGATTTGGGCTGTTGCCGTTGATTTATTTTTCCACTCTTTTGAAAAAAAAAAAAAAAAAACCTGTTCTGCCAGATTCTCCCAGTGCTCAGGCCCCTCCCAGGCAGTTCAGCGCACACTCTGGGAAACAGTGCCAACTCTCTCATTAGCCCACCAGGAATGTGGAGGCAGCAAGAGAATTAGCAGTAGCTGTAGTGGAAGTGACAATAGTAATAACAGTTAGGGCATGTGCAGTAGGCTTCTAGGTAAGCTCTTTGTATAAATAATGCCATTTAATTCTGACAGTATAAAGGAGATACTTTGGTTCTATGATTCTGCACAACAGCTGTAAAGGTGGATACTATTGGTACCCTTGCCCCCATTTTGCAGATGAGAAAAACTGAATTGTAAAGATTGAATAACTTTTCTACGTCATACACATAGTAAGCAATGAAAGCAGGAATCAGACTTCACTTCTCCAGGCCACAGTTCTTTCCTTTATATACAACATTATCCCTGAAATTTGTTTCCTGCCCAAGCCCAGAAAATAATGAGTACTGTGGTGAAGTTTGTTCTTTATGAGTGGGGAAGGCAGGTCACACCAAGCATAGCTGGGGGAATGGCTTAAGAAAAAGTGATATGTGGCTCCATGAGGATAGAAGAGATCCCATTAAAACTCCAATGGCAAGAAGGCAGGGCGGGGGAGGGGAGGGGACACTTATAATCTGTCGGTGGGAATGTGCATTAGTCCAGCCACTGTAGAAATCAGCATGGAGGTTCCTCAAAAGATTAGGGACAGGGTCGGGGGGAGGGGGGACTGGGGTTGTGGCTCAGTGGTAGAGTGCTTGCTTGCTCACCTTGCAGAGATAAGGCACTGGGTTCGATCCTCAGCACCACATAAAAATAAATAAATAAAATAAAGATAAAAAAAAAAAAAAGACTAGGGATGGAACCACCACATGATCCAGTAATGCCACTCTTTGGTATTTACCCAAAGAATTAAAATCTGTATACTATAGTAATACATGCATACTCATGTTTATAGAAGCACAATTCACAAAAGCCAAACTATGGAGCCAGTCTAGGTGTATCTTTCGACCAATGAATGGGGAAAAAAAAAAAGTGGGATGTATACACAATGGAGTTCTATTCAGCCATAAAGAAGAACAGAATTATGTCATTTGCAGGGAAATGGATGAAACTAGAGAGCGTCATGTAAAGTGAAATAATCCAGACTCAGAAAGTTAAGGGCCAAGTGTTTTCTCTCATATGTGGAAGCTAAAGAGAAAAAAGAAAAAAGGGGTATCATGAACTTAGAAGGAAGACCAGCAGGGTAGAGGTAGGGGTGAAGGGGGAGGAATGAGGGGAGAGAAAGGACAGATCCTTGGGAATGAAATTGAGGAATTATGTTCAGTGCATGTGTGAACACCACTATTCTGAGTAATTTAGGCATCATTAAAAAATATTCCATTAAGCATAATAATTTACCAAGAGAATTTTGGTGATAGGCTGTGCCAGAGATAAGCTGTGTCCTGCCTTTTCAAAGCTTCTAATTATGTCACCAAAGCCCACTGAATGCACAGATATAGTAGGCACCAAACTACTGGTCCAATACAATATAAATGATTTTCAAATTTCACTGTTTGCTTTAAAGTATTTCCTTCATCAGACAAATTTTTTCCCTCAGATACATGGTTTTGAATTATGATATAGAGCTCTTAAAGATCCTTGTCAAAATGGAAACACTCTAGAAGTGGGAGAGGAGAAACTATCATAAATACCTCGGTAAGAAATATTTGTCAGAAAATTCAAGGTTGACTTGTCAGAACAAGAATAAGAGACCTAGGGGAACAAGACCCAACTAGAGGGATATTGGCAACTAAGACATGGGTTCCAATGGAGAAGGAGACGGGCAGGATTAGAGGAGCTGGAAGCTCCGCAGTGTAGACTTTTTGGATGGCTGGGGCCCAGGGAAGGAGGGGAGATTAAGTTTGGGGAAACTGTAGGGGCAGTGTATGTTCTGAGGGTCAGAGAGCAGCAACTTCCAGAAAGCAGTTAATCACACTGGAAAGCAGTTGATCACATTGGAGAAAGCATCTCCAGTACAGATCTCTCGCCAAGGGTCAACTTACAACCAACTTTGATACTGTGGCAAAGACATAGCTCCTAGGGCCCCAGTTGAATCTGGAGTCTACAAAAATGTATTAGTTTATTCAAAACAGAAGAAAAAAGTGAGTGATTAAGTTCAATAAATATTCTCACATCGAATGTAATTTATTTATCTTCATGCCAATCTAGTTGTAAAATACAATTTTTAATATTTTTTCTCAGAAATGCTTAATCTGCATAGGCATTCTGCAGTGCAGCCTGTCATTTATTCTCACAGCTCCCCCAAGCACGTGTTCTCGTCCCCATTTGATAGGCAAAGACACTGAGGATCCTGCTATTAAGACAGTTATGACATGGAGGGATGCAGGATGCTAGCCCAGGCCTGTCTCTTTCCAGTGTCCTGCTTTTCAGCTCTGACCCCACTGCTTGATTCCTTTTCAGCTTTCACCTTGCTACATGCCAACACTGCTCTGGACACTGTGGACACAGATGGAACAAAAGGGCAGTAAAATGCAGATGCACTGCGTGTACAGGGCAAGGGTGAGGGTGTTGAGAACACCAAGGGAAGGATGGCAGGAGGGAATGTGACGTCACTGGTTGGAGGTTGAGGTTGAAAGTTTCGTACTTCACCCCTGAGGCTCCAGTAGGAGAAAGGGGAGAGACAATGGGTTGTTCAGCTCATCGAAAAGATTTATGAAGCTTCCAGAGAGAGATCTGAACCACACTCATCAAATCATCCCTGGCATAAAGGAAATTTGCAGATGACTAGCCAGTGGCAGGATGGCCTTCAAATCGGCACTACCTCACACAATTTACACTTCCTCCATTACCTAGATGGACCAAGAAACATTTTTATTTTGTATGTTAAATCTGCACCCCAAAATTGTTAGGTTTAATTTGTGAGATTATGTGTTTAATATCAGCATTTCAGTAGCCATCTGAAGAAGGTGCTTCTTGGGGGAATGATATTCAACACAGTAGGCCCAGTCTGGTTTGGATTCAACACAGGGATCATCATTTCCCCCTGCTGAGATTCAGCAAGCTGTCTCCTTCTGCTATTTGAACACCCTGATGCTACTTGAGGTCTGCAGTCATTGCAGAGGTAGGCATTGGTCTGCTCTGACGGGGTCCAGAAACTGTGGCCTGCCTGCCCTGAGGGGATGGAGGTAGCATACCTATGGCCAAGGAAAGCACAGTGTGCTGCAGAAGCAGGGCCAGGGTCCTCAGCAAACTCCTTTTTAAACAGCTGTGCTTCACTTTTCCAAAGGACTCGAAACATAAACTTCCTGGAGGGATGTGACAGCGTCATTATTGCACAATCCTCTGGTTTCTGTTTCTTCCCCTGTCCCCTATCCCTTCCCACAAAATAAATGCATTCTTTGTTTCCTGTGCTGCCCTAGAAACAAGCAATGTGCCACACAAAGGTAACAATTCAGTCCATAAGTCCCATTTTCCCCCACAAGTACATTTCTGTCTTTTCAACCAGGTATACACATGAGAACCAAGTTGGCCCCTGCCTGGATCCTCAAGGGATTATCTTGGTCCCATCATCTCAAAACTTTCCTCAGGCCATTTTACTCACGACTGATTATAGATAGGGGTGGGAACAGATAACATTAGAAGGAGACCAACCCAAAAGATAATGTGTTTCTCTTGATTTGATTCTTGAGGTAAAAATGTTTGGGATCTTAGAATAGAAAATTCTAGTTCATCATAGTATTTGGAGGCCAGAATAATCCCTCTGTGTTTCTCTGGCACAAAAACAAAATGGATGAGATTTTAGCTTTTGTTAAAGACAAAAAAAGCCCTCACTGCTTATTTGGTCCTATAGTGTTCTGAGCTTACCTGACTGATCAGCACTATTCTATGTCCATAAAGTAGCTAAGTGTACCCAACCAGACTGTAAGCTCTCAAGCATGGACACTGGGCCTTCCCTAGCATTCTTTTCAGTATCTACCACCATGCTGGGCATGGCACAGCTGTTGAAATAAGAGTTTGTTGAGCCTGCTATTTGGGAAACTGGATCCTTCTAGCTACTGAGCAGTAAAACTATGGTAAGAAGTCTGTGGGGAACATTTTCATGCCCAATTCACAAGCCATTTAATAGTTCCATTGGAGTTTTGTTTGAATGATCATTTTCTTCAAGGGGATGTGAAGCCCTGAGAACTAGAACCATGAGGAAAATGTGTCACCATTGAGATGAACCCAACTGAAGGGCTATGCAAAGGCATGTGATGGACTGAAGGTGGTGCTGAGCCTCCTGGTCAGATTCCAAAGCTGGTGCATCTTTAAACCTCATCTTGACTCCAAGCCCAACCTGAGTGAAAGCACGGCATCTGGGGAGGAGGCTGGACACTTTCTTTTCTTTTCTTTCTTTTTTTTTTTTTTGATTACAAATTTTTTTTTAAAAAATGTTATGTTTTTACTCTGATTATATTTGAAAATGTTGATGATAAATTAATCTCATTGTATTGTAACCAGCCAGTTCAATAAAAATAATTTTTTTTTCTTGCCCCAGGAGTAGTAATAACTAATAAATAGACATTGTGGCTTTCTTTCATATTAACTCAAATGTTTCTATACTGAATACATCTTTTTAAAAAATTTATATATGATGCTAGAATGTATTACAATTCTTATTATACATATAGAGCACAATATCTCTGGTTGTATACAAAGTATATTCACACCAATTTGTGTCTTCATATATGTACTTTGGATAATAATGTCCATCACATTCCACCATCATTTCTAACCCCATGCCCCTCCCTTCTCTCCCACCCCTCTGCCCTATATAGAGTTCATCTATTCCTCCCATGCTCCTCCTCCCTGAGGCTGGGCACTTTCCTGTAAGAATTTCAGAAATGTCTACTTTCACTCCTTCAAGAAAAAAAAAAAGTGAAGTTTGTGTTTGTTGATTGGTTGGTTTGGAGTTTTGTTGTTGCTGCTGATTTGTAAATGGTTGAAGAAGATATGTTAGATCTATCTGCAAAATTTGTTCCATGAGATTTGGACTCTGAGAAATGTGATTACTTGAGTCAACAGAATAGCTTTTCTTTATGAAACACAAGATAAAGTTTTATACAGAAGAAAGAGCTCTACAACTTCAGGATCTGTGTAGGGGAACGCTAGTTCAAATCACTGTCCTTGTAAAGATACTAAATGGGGCTGTAGCTCAGCGGCAGAGCACTTGCCTGGCATATGTGAGGCACTGGGTTCGAGCCTCAGCATGACATAAAAATAAACAAACAAAATAAAGGCATTGTGTCCATCTACAATTACAAAAAAAATTTTTTTAAAAAGACACTTAATGCCAAGCTCACTCACATTCTAAGTTTCTTTGATGTCTCCCCTCTCCCTTTAATGTCTAGGTTATAAGAGATTAACTAAAAGACTTATAATTTACTTCAGAAACATGCTCACGCTCATCATTACAGGGCAGGGAAAAGCCACTTCCCAGCAGAATCTTCTCAGGGTGGATCCTTACATCACTTCCCCTTGGAGAAAGTTCCAGGTGTATCATCAGCTCACAAAACATTCACAGAGGGGAAGGGGAAGAGAATAAGTGTCACACCATCTTGGACAGGGAGAAATCCTACCTTATCAAGGTAAAATGGAAGGTGGTAGGATCTCTGCTAGTGAACCTGGGTTCAAAATGCTGCTCTCCTCTTTCTGCATGAGCCTAAACCAGCTACTTTCCTCAGCTGTATCATGGGGACAATTGTACTGATGTCTTGAGCTTTTGGTAGAGATTAGCAACGTGAACATAAAACATCAAGAGTCTCAAGGCTCCGAGCAGAGCTGCAGAGCTCCATCACTGGGTAGCTCTTTGTTCAGCAGGAGAGGCAGACTTGAACCTAATTCTGTCAGACACTTCCTACTGTCATCCTGACTGTCCTATGGGCCAGGCATATGTTAAAAAAAGATGATGATGACAAAATTAATATCCCCTCTCATCTGTAAAACTGGAATTTGTTCACTCATTCATTCAAACAATACTAATTAAGCACCAGGATACTTATTTTGTAATACTTCCTATGTCATGGGCCAGTTGCAAGAACTATGTGGCTAAAGCTCAGAAAGAACATAGCACGTGCTCTTAAAACATCATACTTGGTAACTGTTAGATGTAACAAAAATAAACAAACAGAATTTACCAGTCTTACTGGATACCAAATAAAACCAACCATGCAATGTGATGTTGCTCTGCAGAAGTGTGCAAAGATTATAACTGCAGAGGGGAGGGAACTCTGCCTGGGGAAGTTGCGAAAGAAATCCCACTCCTGACAGTGAAGCACCCAACAGATACTTCAGAGAATATGTTTCATGATATCTAGTTATTCTTCTAGTGACAGCATAAACTAAACTTGTTGCCCAACAACAAGGGAAAGTTCAAAGTAGAATTACTTTCCCATATAGTTTACTGCATTAAACAATGTAATTCCAGATCCACTAGTGATAACCAGTTTGATTACCTGCTGACTTCATCCTTAGTCATCCTGACTAGTTACTGAAACCCTAAGGCAATGACCAGCAGGAATAACTCAGAAATGGTCCCTCTGTGTTTAACACAGAAGTGAACATAATATTCTATAAAAGCCTGAAAAAAAAAAAAACAGCTGCTTTGTGTATGAAATACTTTAGCCATGACTCACTTTTTTTGCCCAAAATATATCGAAGTGAATCCAAAGTAAATGCTATGTCTAAAATGTTGGCAATTCTCTTGAAATCTCTAAACGTCCTCCTCAGCAGAATGTACAATTAAGTATCATTAATCAAGTGGCTTCTCTCCCCTCCTTAGCTCAAAGGGCCTGGTCTGGAAAGCTTTCTCTAAAAGGCCTAGCTCTAAGTCCATTCCACTTTCCTTCACGTTCTTTGTCCCTGCTTTCCTGGTTCTGGCACTTTCTGTTTTGTATTGTTCTTGATAATTGGTGCAGGTCTGGGAGTTTTCATTTCAGCATGATTTCAGAAGTCAGTGGAAGAGAGAGTACCTTGTGCTTCTCATGTCCTCCCACAAGCTCAGCCCAGTGGCACTCAGGGAAGTGCTCACTGACTGGATGATGGTTTGTCTCATTGGGCAGTCTGTGGTCTGGGAACATCAGATGAGTCTGTTTATGGGGCGTCTATGTTTCTCTGCCAATGGTCATGAACCACACGCCTTTATAAGCCATGTGACTAATTCTTATCAACAGTTTTTCAATTGTAGAGATGTTGGGCAATGGGACAGAGCTGAAAGGTGTTAGAGAGGCAGAGAAAGTGTGGCTGTTCCAAGAGGTTGCTATTTTTTTTCTTGTGTTGGTGAGAATTAGATTCATTACAAAATATTGGCCCTAATGTTGTTCCAGGGTTCTTCTGTTCCTAGTTTGGGGCTTTGAACCAAAGAGCTTCACTTTTCATAAAATAATAGAAAAGACAACCACCCTTAACTTCGTAATGGCCTTTCTCTTTCCATGGTCAGGTGCTTCCCAACTTTTACAGACAGGGATCGAGGGCCTCTACCTTTTAGTCTCTTCCTCTCAGGTCACCTTTTTTATCCCTCTTCAGTCTTCCTCTACTTTGGTACAGGGGCAGCTGAAGATCTTCCCACCACATTCTGAGAATATGACCCTACGGCTCACTTCCCTCTGCCCGACATGTTCTCCATGTAGTGACAAAGGGCACCCCCCTTCTCACACCCACACTCCAGCTGTGGCCACACTACTCATTTATTGGTAGTATTCTAAGAATAAAAAAGATTTTTTTCAGTTTCAGGCCTTTTGCATGTCCTCTTCCCTCTGACTGCCATTCACCCTTCTATTCTCTAAACCTTCCTTTAAGATAATGCTTGCAGAAATTTTGCAATGACCACCCTATCTAAAGAATGCTTTTGTTTTTGTTTCCATCTCAATTTCCTGAGTATTGCCTTTACAGAACTTATTACAATTTCCAAATAGATTGGAAAAGAGAGAAGGAGAGACACACAGAGGAGTGGAGGGGAGAGGGACAGACAGAGATTCCTGAAGCTTTCCAGTCCCTGAATCTAATACTTTGGGAGACTCAATTTTATTTCCTATAATTAAATATCCAGTAACCATCTGCTAAATCTCCCACACACACCTATTTTTCCTTCTGCTTGGGATGCTTTAACCAGGTTTCCGTTTGTTTTCAAAAAAGAACTCCCAACTGAAACAAGGATACAATAAATACAATAATTATATTCAAATGGAATTTTTCATAAGACAAGTGCATATTTTTTGACTGATTAAAATTGAAAAGCTGAGGAAAAGCTAAATGCACACATTTATTTTGGTTTCTCTTTTTCACTTTCCA